GGTAAAATAAAAAATCATCTCATTTTCCTTTGTAATTCAAAGTCTTCCAGATTTTACACTTCTATGGAATACTAACATTTGCCTAACAAAGGTGAGTAAATGAATACAAAATATTTACAACATAAGGTGCTGCAGAAATGGTTAAACAGTAATAATAATCACAATCACAATATGATGACTCTCTAGGAATACACAGCATACCAATTTGAAATCCTCTAAATTAATTATCATTCAGGGTCAATAAACTCTAACTTCACACGCAGAACTTGGTAGTTATCTGTAACATAGTATAAAAACTAATAGTGCCTGCAAAGTTTTTGGCTGGCTCTAGAAAAAACAACAGCAAAAAACTATTATGGTAGCAATTCAGTTCTGAGTGATAATCATAATGAAGTGCTCTATTAAAATGTTCAGAGATGAGCTAAGCGAAGGTAGGAATAGAAAAAGAGTCAGAAAATTCACTTGGTTACTCTCTTCCTTCGTTGGTAGTTGATAAAAAGAGTATAGGGAAGCCTAAAAAGGAAGACAGGAAGCAATGTAATTGCAGTCCAAATGGAGGAAACAGTTTTACACTGAGAACCAGGTGATCTGTTCTAGTTACAGCTCTGCCACTACTAATTACATGACCTAGGGAAAATCAGTTAATGTCTTCAGATCTCACTTTCCCCATCTGTGCAATAAAGAGATTGGGTCCCTTTTATCCCTAAAATTCTATGACCAACTGGAATACACATATGCAAAAAAAAATCACTCCACTTATACAAATACTATAATACTTCTTAGTGTATCTGTTAATAACTACTGTAGAAAAGATTCAGGCAAGGTGGTAAAAATGCCAAAAATAGAATTTTGAAACAGAGGCTTGGGGAAGCTGCATGAAAGAGGGGCTAGAAGTCTAACCTTGCATAATTTTTTTATTTATATCTGCAGAGAATGTGTTAATGAGTCTGTTGATGCCTCTGTTTAGAAATTTAGACCCCAACATAACCCTCAAATGACATTACATCTGCATAATGGTGAATAACTCATATACAGGTCTCATTTCACTATCTTATTTACTGCAAGACAATTTTGTTACAAATTTTTCCTGTTAAATCATTCCCAGAAATTGAGAGAACAACAAATCCTTGCCTGGTCTGAAACAATCCTCCTTTGCATTCTTCCAAGGCAGTGGAAAGCTGGTACTCTGCCTTTTTCTGTTTTTCCATTTTAATCTAATCCAAGGTCAGAATATTAAGAAGGACATCTCATTGTCAGAGAACTGAGATTAGAATGGTGCAACAAGCTAACCCCAAGTATTTCAGCAGAGAGTTCAGGAAAAAAAAAATCTTAAACCTAGACTATAATGGCTTTCTTGCTTGGGTCTTCCCCCATCCCCCATGGTCACTGTGAAGTCTAGTTTATCTTCTTTTCATTCTAAATTGTATTACATTAATTTCATAGCTTATAAATGTCAAAGAGAGAAATGTTAGCATTTGAGTATTTGAGAGGTTCACTAAGGCCTGTATCCCCTTTTATGTTGGTTATTGTGTGACCAACTGCATATTTTATCTTCTTTGTAAAGACTTGGGGGTTGGGAGGGAGAAGAATAGGTATTGAACTAGTAAATAATTAGAAAAATTTGGGCATGGCCATTTTGATAAAGTTATCTAAACATATACTGCCTTCATTTTGGGTATTTTTAGGTACTTAAAAATAATACATAAAACAAAAGGCTGCTCCTTAGTCCCACTGAAACAGTATTGCCTCTTTCCTATAGCCATCAAAACTAGACTTGAATTTCATTACTAGAACACCTTTTTTTTGCCTTATTTTGATTATGCTAATTTAAAGAGATTACTGGAACATTTTAGTGATAAATGAAATCATCTTTTTTTTAAAGGTTTTTGAAATATTGAATAAAGGCAATGGGACTAAAATCTAGCTTATATGAAAATATCTTTAATATGTACCTTAAAGATATGTGCAATAAATTGGTTCCATAGAGGCTGCTGCCAACAATAAATTCACCTCTTTGTCATTCTATAAGGGATATCAAGTGTAAACTTTCATAATTAAAAATGATAGAATGAATTTAAGAAATCATTGTCTTTTGAAATTGATATTTGAATGATATGTGGCAATGGTCCTCTGACTAGTTTCTATCTGACCAGGGGAGGTTCAGTTTTATTAAATGCCACTTTATTCCACACATACCCTATTAACTTCTTACCATATAGGTAGTTTTATAGATTTCAATAGAGTAAATATAAATTGTAGCTGTGACAGGAATTGATTGAGTCAAAATATTTGAAACTTGCGTAATGATTTTTTTTCTAAGTGCCTATTTTAAATAAATAAAAAATTATACGAAGTCTTTTTTTCCCCACCAGGATAATAGCTATTTGATCAGGGCTATTTTGTATGTCTTTATTTTAAATATATGCTATTAATTCTACACATATGCTATTAATTCTATACATGTTATAGCAATTAGCATTAGCAGGAGAAAGAAATATCAAAGAAAAAAAAATCCTTGAAAAGCCACATGCATTGAAAAGGAAAGTAGTTCAATGTATCCAAGTCTCAGAAAATCCTACAACTTCTGTACTGGATTTATTCAACCTTTCCTTCTGTTCATCATTAACTTAGAAGTGAAGCTGGCTATTTTAATTTACCAGTATTCATTTACAGTGTTTCCTCCATTCATCCATATAAATAAAGAACCTGAAGGTATCTTTGGTCCATTCTTACCCCTCCCTCCTTTGAGAATTTTACATGCAAATCAGGGGGACAATTCATCTTCAAAGGGAGAGAAATGATTTGTAAATGGCAGAGACATCTTCAGCAAAACCTCTACTCTTTCAAATGAGTTGTTCTAGCTGATCCAAGTTGAACCAATTTTATGAAGTCCGAAGTGATTAATACAGCAACTACACTTATTTTTGGTGATTGAAAAGAAACTTAACTGCTTGTCATTTTTATTACAATGCACATTACTGGGTGTCAAGAATATTACATTAATATAAATTCTCCTATCTGTTCACTTTGCAGTTTTACCTTGGCTATGGTTGCACCAAGTGTGTACTTGCAAAGGTATGCCAAAATAAATTTGCAAAAACGGAACAGGAGAGATTTTATAGCATTATTCCTCATTTTGAAAAGATTCAGTTCAAGACCAAGGAAAGAAATCCATCTCTCTGTCTGCCTCTCTGTCTCCGCTCTGTCTCTCTTTTTCTCCTTTACTTCTTTTACGAATGAACTGGTCCAACCAGACCTGATCTTTACTAGTTTGCTATCAGTTTGTGTCACTGATAACTAAGGATCAGATCCAAATATTGTTTCCTGAACAACTTCAGTGCAGGTATTGCCAACACAAGAGCAGACATAGCTAATTAGCAACCCCCCGGGCTATTGTCTGTGCACCCTGTGTGTTAATAAAGCTGAGACATAAACTAGGCCCCCTAAGGGCCCTCCCCCATAGGTCCCATGTGGAACCTTGTGGTCTCTAAGCAACAGCTCAACCGAGCGAGCCAAAGGAGAGACAGTCTCTCTCCCTCTGGATGAGACTCCACCAGGAGCTGTGCGAAAATGGTCTCAGCTGGAAGTTGCTCTGGCATAACATAAACTTGGCATTGCAAAAGCAAACGCCATGAGCTGAAGTAATTCAAAGCAGTTTCAACCCTGAAAAGCGGGGTTTCAGGGTAGGCTCTGTCTTTTGGTACCAGTCATTTCCTCTTCTGATGTTTCAGCAAAGTCCACAGCATAGTTAGGGAGAAGGGAATTTCCCGCTGCTCCCCATCTCCCCATCAAGGCTGAGGATAATTATTTTCTTCAGTGGAATTACAACTGCCATTCTAGAGGGATTTTCACCCTGATACGAGAGACAGAAAAATTATCAACAGTTTATTGCAAGGGGTGATGCCCATTTAGACAAACCCAGGTCCTTTCGATTCAGCATTTGTTGGCTGAAGGTGTCTCATCTGCCAGCAATCAGGTTAATGAAAAGGGTATTTAGGATAGGAGTAAAAGACCTTACCATCATCTAGCAAACATACTATTTTCTAATCAAAATGATTCTTAATTAGTCATTTAAATTTACACTATTCTAATGTTACATAGATTAAAAACAACTGCTGTAGTTTTTTTATCTATTTTTGATTACATATCACAGTCACAATTATCCAGATAATTCAGGTAGAAATAGTCCATTTTGGCTTGAAAACACCATAAAATTGATGGATAATTTTTTTAACTTAAATTCTCAGACTACTCCAACACAACGATTAATTCCTTCTTCCCTTTGGGCAATCTTTATCAGACAAGGTATTGGGGATAAAAAGTGGTCCTTGATACAATCTCCTCCATATTCATAGTCAGTTCTAGGGCCTACAACATAACTTCAGGTCTGGTCACATAGGTAAAACTCAAGCAGCGTATTCTTTTTATTCAGGAGGTTGAGATTCTGCATTCTGCACGTGGCATTTATGAAAATTTAAATATCTTGATATCTACTGCAATCTTTCTCATTTTGTTCTTTTGCTGATTCTAAAATGGTTTCGCTAAGGTCATTTTTAGATAAATTTTTCCTTTCTTAATATTTCATTTTGAATTGCTCTGTCACTGAGGGTTAAACAGGTAGTTGATCAATGATTATAATATTCTTATATACTTCAAATAGAGATCCAAGAGGGGCAGGGGGCAGAGAATGTCAGAAACCAGGGTAACACTAACCAGAAAGAATGTGATAATATGAATTGTAGGACAGCTGGATTTGTTCATTTTGTTCAAACACATTCCCCTTTCTCACTTTTGCATTTACATTTGTCGTAAGTGCAGACTTGATTACATAAATACTTTTGCTAATGAGAAGCCTTTTTACAGCACTAATTTAAAAATAGATATTGACATAACAATCTTAATTTGAATGCACCAAATTACATTTTTCAACAATTTAAGTGAGCATATCCTGTCACCCTCAGCACACATTTTATATATACTTGTTATATATAGATGAATAGATTGATATCCTGCTCTATATTTCTACATACACACAATTGTATGCATATACACACAGAATAGAGCTATGGGGCCCTGCTTAACATGGTGTTTTAAATTTCTTGTTCTTTTAATTATCATGGGATGTGTTTATATGAACAGTTTTGATTCAGCATTTGTTTCTGCTGTTCACTGATTGTATTCCTGTCAAAACCTCTAACACAGAAGTGACTCCAGTGGCCCACCACTATTAACGAAGGACAGCTTCTGTCATTGGGAGTGTAAATAGGAAATCTCAGCCAAGGAGGCAGGTGGAAAGTGCCTGATACCGAGCATACTCAAGAGGTCACTACCCAATCCAGGCAACATCCCACCATATGGAGGCTTTTACTGCCTTCAGACCAAAAGGGTTTTGTTTATTTAAATGACTTTTCTTACAATTCAAAATCAATTTCTTTAAACAGATTCCCCAAAGAAATTCAATAAATAAAAGACTTAGCCTCTGACTCTAGGAAGCAAAGCTCCAGTTTTTAACCTTCAACTGTGACCAGGACTAGAACTGACACAGCTCAGTTTTCACTGCAATTGGTCTTCCATGGATGCAGAGGGTACAAGTGGTTTCCTGACCCTACGGGCAGGTTTCAGGCTAGACTGTCTCTCTGGTCAACAGTGGTTCTCTGTGTGTCATTGGATGAGGCTGGAGCTGTAGCTAAATCCATAGCTGCTAGACAGCGACAGGGGCTGCTGGTGCTCTTCATTCTGTTCTGAGGTGTAGCTGGGAAACGTTTGTGCCCGCGACATCTTTGTGGAACCAAAACGGTGACCTGAAAGAGAAGGTAACGAGAAGCACAATGAATAATTTCAGCTGAAGACCAGTGTACTTCAAATAAAGAACAGCCAAACAAAACAAACATCATCCTGTAGCTCCCATGGGAGAAGATGTCATCTTGAATTGGAGTAATAATGCCTAAGATGAAATTCTCAAGTCATTTGCTCTTTTTTTTCCTTTTCAAGTGTGTCACATTTGAGGGTCATTAGTAAATATTACTGGTGAAAATTAGCACAGAGAAGATGAAAAGTTAATTAGTTGCATTTTATCTTACAAACAGCATACTTGGTTTTATTTATGTTCTATCTGCCATCTATGGGCAGGAGTATAGGAAATATACCCAGAAAACAACAACCACAACAACAACATGAAAATATTGAATGATGTCACATTACTGTTATGAACTTAGGCTGGGGCTTTCTAAATTGTTGTCAGCTTCCCCATTAAGTGGATAAGCTGATGACTCACAGTATGTATTCCTTTCTTGTGCAAGTTGGACTAGATGACTACTAAAATACCTTCTGCCTCTTGAATTCTATGTCCTATTGTTCTGAATTCTTTCAGTGATTGAAACTAGGAATGAATGGCAGAAATAAAAGATATTCAGCAGTGATGTGCTGGTAAAAGTTTAACAACCGCCTTTCTAAAAAAAGGTATAAACAACACACTTTTAATCTTTTTTATCTGCATTATTTAATGAAGATTTTATTTTTAATGTATATTTTACTTAATCTGCATTATTAACATTTCCTCATCACTTTCTTAAGCCTAGGCAAACAACAAAGCAAAAAATCAAGCTCTGATCTGTAGCATTGCCAATTTCTGAAGGGGAAATATTCACATTGAAAATTTAACAATCCACTCTTATAAGCTAGTTCAAGCTGACTCTAGCTTAGTATGGTATTAGAGGAACAAAATTTCCTTAAGACCTCTTAAATAAATTTAATGTTCAATAAAATAAGAAAGGGGCCTAAAAATAACCTTAAGATTTGCCATCTGGTCTAATTTTCCTTTTAATAAGTCAATAGTAAATATATTGTTCAATGGAACATAACTTCTAGGACCATTGGAGGTAAAAAAAAAATTCCCAATTTTTGGGATGTTTTGTAATTTAATGAAAATGTCTAGAACTAATGAGCTCCCCTGGATTTCAGATAAAACTTCCAGTATGTCCTTAAAAAAAAAGGGGAATTCCATTATTAAAATTACCCTTCTCCTTAATCTTTAATTCTCAAGTCATTGTTTTGCCCAAGACAAGCATTTTTTTCCCATAGCAAAAGTTAGCTGTTGTTTTTTCTTTAAAATAGTCTTTTTATGTTTTTTTTTTCTCCCAGCTTCAAGAGGTCTATACCACACGGAATAGAAGAATTAATAACAACTTCTCTAGTTATCAATTTTCTCTGACAGTCTTTGCTTATTTTCTGAGGATGAGTTAGACTATTTTGTAAAAAAAAACCAAACAGTTTGTTTTCATTTTTGACTTTTACTTTTACAAAACTTTATAGTTTTGCAGCTGATCATGTTTGACGTTGGGCTTGAATGATGCTTGAAAAGCTTGATTTCACTATACAACAACTATTGCAATATCTCTAGCAGTTATGCAAGTGTGTTCTTTAACACACAGTTTGTTCATAGTCCCTTGACTTAATATCCATTCTCTTAAGCCGCAGAAATAAAAGCAGAACAAAAGAGAACAATAAAACAGTTGTGTATGGCACAAAATCCAGGAAATGATTGACATAAAACTAAATGAAGGTGAAGAAACACTTTCAAACCACTTTCACTTGGTCAAAGTCAGATGTTCTGAGTTAGACTGCTGTAAATAGATACAAACACATGCCCACAGTTCTCACAAAATAAAGCCATATCCACATTCTTTTTCTTCTACCACCATCTTTTTATTGGTGAAGAGGAAAGTTGGAGGAAAAAAAAGGAAAAAAAATCAAAGAAAATAGAATTGAGGGGAATACACACTTAACAATCATAATTTTGAGTGTGGATGGGATGAACTCACCCATAAAAAGGAAGATTGAAATGGATCTGACAATGGTTTTATAAAAAAGACACTTCAAACATGAAGATTCACATAGAGTTAAAAAGGAAGACTAGCTGAATATCTATTATGCTTTTGCTCAATTAAACAAAGCAGGGGTAGAAGTTATGATTTTAGAGAAGGCTACAGTAAATATATAAAAGATAAAAAGAGATCAGCAAGAAATGTATATTACACTAAAACACATCACAAATAATGAATTAATATCAATACTTAATATATGTGCCTGATACCATAAAATTTGAATACTTAAAGAAAAGAATTTAATTGCACTAAAGGGAGAAATAGCAGTTGAACTGAAATAGTTGGTACCTTAATGTATTCCCTTCAGACTTAGACAAATCTAACAAAAGAGATAAAAAAGAGAGAAGTTAAGGGTCTGAACAGACCTTTATAAAAATTAGAGATGATAAATATTTGGTAATTACTGGATGAGAATATATTATATACCATAATGGTATATATATGGCACCTTTGACCATGTACCAAAAATTGACCACATATTAGGGTATAAAGAACTCACCAAAAAAAAAATAGAAAATCAGAAATACTAAATCAATAATTTACTGATCATGATGCAATAAAAGGTTGTTCAATAAAAGGGCTCTTAAAAAGAATTAAAAAGTAATTATAGACTAAAAACACAATTCTAAAGAACTGGTCTATCAAAGAACAAGTTATAGAAACAATATATAATTTCATTATAGAAAACAACATAATGAGATGATATACCAACACTTATGGAATGCCACTAAAGCAGTTCTGAGGGGAAAATTTAAAGCTTTCATTAATAAAAGAAAGAAATGACAATTCAATGAAGTTATCATGCAACTAAGATAGTGTGCTCCTATAGGGGAATGACTAAACTAATCATGGTATATGAATCTAATTAAATATTATTATGCTCTAAGAAATACAGAAATGAACAATTTCAGAAGAAACTAGGAAGACTTCTAAGAAAAGGAATCAAGATGAAATATGACCCTCACCTTCTAACACAGAGAAGATAAACTGAAAATCCAGAAAGATACACATTTTGGGACATGGTTAATGTAGGAATCTTTTTTTCTATCCCATGTAGATATGTACTGAGGGATTAAAAAATACTCAATGGAAGGTATTGTAGTGGGAAGGAAAGATTGATAAAATATTTATTACTTGATTAAATACAATTAAATAAAATTTAGGTGCTCAGTGATATAGTCCCCTGAACTCTTGTTGCTACCACATTTCTTTTTCTTCATTAGATTTACCAGATTCTCTTGGCAAAGGACTGAAATAATAAAAATTCATTCTGTCAAAATGGTGACTGTTGTAGTTGTTGTCCCAAGTACTGGAAGTCAGAGGTGATACTGAAAATAGGAAATTAAATAGACTGCGATGGCAATAAGCAGAAAGTGCCAGGGGAAGTAGCCAAAATAAACAAACAAAAGCTATATAAAAATTATTGCTCAGCCAAAGTAATTTGCACACCATAGTGGATGACATAAAGATAGTATAGTGGAAAATGCATTACATTTGAGATCAAAATCTAGGCTCAAACGCAAGTTCCAACACAACTGCATATGTGGCCTTGGGCTGGGCAGTTAACCTCTCTGGGCCTCAGTTTCTTAATACAAAATGAAGGGTTTGGATTAAATGACCTCTAGAGGAATGTAGGTGGTACAGTGGATAAAATACTAGATGCGGAGTCAGGCAGACCTGAATCCAAATTCTGTCTGATACACTAGCTGTGTGACCCTAGACACATCACTTGACTTCTATTTCAGTTTCCTCAACTGAAAATGTAGATAATAATAGCACCTATCTCCCAGGGTTCTTGTGAAGATCAATTGAGATAATATTGATAAAGTGCGTAGCACAGTGTTTGGTACAAAGTTGGTCTTACAAAAATGTTTGTTCATTCCTTCCTTCCTGTCTCCCTCCCTCCCTCCCCCTCTCTTTATCCCTTCCTCTATGTCATTACCAACTCTATATGCCCTAATTCTTCTGTTTCTAAATTTCATGACCCTAAGAATTACCTGCAGGTTTTCTTATAGCATAGTGAGTCAACATGTCTTTAAGCATCTCAGTCTAACCCAACTCAGTTCACTCTTCTACTTGGCAAGAGAAAATCAGCATGATTTTAATTCTTTATTATTTTGGATAGATGAAAGTAGTAAGAGCTTATGTTCTTTCCTGTAGATAATAAATATTTGTCAATAAATAACTAATAATTTATTAGTATTGAGTAAGGAGAATTTTCATTGGAAGACATGGAGAAAATATATAAATAGAAGACTAAAATCCTTAGATCTCAAAATAACAAAGAGGAAGAAAACTTTAGCGAAACCTATCATTTAAAAAGGAATAGGATGAATTTAGTCATTGAGAGTAACTATCAGTGAATTTCAGGGACTGCAGACATATTAAACTTACATTTCATCAGAGAAAATCAATTTTTCAAAAACTGATTCTAGGTGATGCACTCCTATTCAAAATACAGCCTTCTTGGAAATGCACACTGATACTTTTACAGCAAATGGAAGAATCTGATTGATCTGACTGGAAAAGAAGTGGTTCAGAACCAGGTCTTTGAGTCCCCTGCTCCTGCCTTGACATGATGATTCACTTTGTCTAAGTGGAGATGATGATACTTACCATCACATACATTCAGGTTTGAGATCCTTGGAAAATAAGTGTTAACTCATTTAAAGGATCAGCAGCATTACTAGTAGTCTAAGACTACTCACTTTTCAAATTCCTAGTCCTAGGAGATCTGTTCTACTCCAGAATTATTTGTACATCTTAGAAGTAGTTGAAAGCAGGTCAAGGTTCACTTCTAAGTCTTCATGCTCAGTAAGCTAAAAAGTGCATTTGGAATATAGGTGACTCTTCAAATAGGCACAATAGCAATTGTCTTCCATAAAGAGTTCAGTAGAGAGGCTATATGGTAGTAAAGT